TTTTTTTTTTTTTTAAATATGACTATATAGTTTTTTTTTATTTTAGTTTTAGTTGCTATTTTATTGGCACCATAACTGTGATCAGCCAAAATCAGTGTTTTAATTATATATTTTAAAATATTTTTATTATATCTTATAATCAAAAATTATTTTTTGTTATTTTAATATCATTGATATACTATTGTACTTTTTGTTAATATTTGAATTAGATTTATTTTAATATTTGAAAATGTTAGTCATTTTGTTGTGTTTTCCTTACTTTACTTACTTTTTACTATTATTATTATTTTTAATATGCCTGTATAGTTTTATTAAGTTTTAGTCTTTGTTTATTTAGTTGCTAGTATATTGGCACCATAACAGTTATTAGCCAATATCAGTGTTTTAATAATATTAAAAAAAATATTTATAATATTTCATATTAAAAAAATTATAATTTTGTTATTTTATTAATTATATTTTAAAAATACTTTTTAATTGTTTATTTATTTAAAAATACATATCATATTTAAATATTTTTTGGTGAAAGCTGTTTCCAAGCCTGTTTATGAGAACTAACTTTAAAGTCATTTTGCACATTTTTATTTAGGAATTACACCTTTATTTTTTGTTTCACAGTTTTTACTTTTATTTCTTATTTAAATTTTCTCACACAATTAGCTGTTTTATTTTTTTTTACTCTGAGGCAGAAACAGTGGATTTATTGAAAAAATAAGATACAAAAGTATGTATTGTTTTTATTCATTGTATTGTAGCACCTTGTTTTTAGCAGTATATGTGACCCTGGACCACAAAATCAGTCTTAAGTGTCAATTTTTTTTAAATTGAGATTTATACATAATCTAAAAGCTGAATAAATAAGCTTTCCATTGATGTATGGTTTGTTATGATAGGACAATATTTGGCTGAGATACAACTATTTGAAAATCTGGAATCTGAGGGTGCAAAAAAATCTAAATATTGAGAAAATCATCTTTAAAGTTGTCCAAATTAAGTTCTTAGCAATGTATATTACTAATCAAAAATTAAGTTTTGATATATTTACAGTAGGAAATTGACTAAATATCTTCATGGAACATGATCTTTACTTAATATCCTAATGATTTTTGACATAAAAGAAAAATCGCTAGTTTTGACCCATACAATGTATTTTTGGCTATTGCTACAAATATCCCCCAGCGACTTAAGACTGTTAAGTTTTCCTGTAAAGAGTCTCACGTGAGTTTGTCCGTCTTTAGGCCGCAGAGTCTGGCATCGTCAAGATCAAAACCATCGCTGCAAGAAACACAGACATCCTGGCAGGTAAGAGCGTGTGATGCTGAAGTAATGGTGTGATATGACCCATGTGGAGATAAATAGACACTATTGTGTTGATTTAACATCAGCGCTGAAGGAGAACAGTTCAGAGGTGGTCCAGCCGTTCCTCATGGGCTGCGGAACCAAAGAACCCAAAATCACCCTGCTGTGTCTCGCCGCCATTCAGAGACTCATGTCCCATGAAGTCGTGTCCGAGGTCAGAAAATACACACACAGACACACACACTCTCTCTCTCTCTCTCTCTCTCGCTCTCTCTCTCTCTCTCTCGCTCTCTCTCTCTCTCTCTCTCTCTCTCGCTCTCT